TGACCTACTTACTCCCCGCTCGTCTCCCGCCCCTCTCTCCCGCTGCAGACTTCGCTGAACCACGCCCCCCTCGCCACAATTATACAAAACAGACATGGACTAAACTCGATTTTGACATCTGTGCACCCGGCCTGTGGACCACCTTGAATTTAAAAGGTTGTAATGCCAGATACCAACGGGTGATCCGAGCGTTGGTATCCTTCATGCGGTGGAGCCACTGCAGGGGCGCGTGGTCCGAACAGAGAGTGAATTCCCATCCCAGGAGATAATACCCAATCGCTGTGGGATTCTTCTACTACCCCCACCTCTAACATCGCCTCTAATTCAGCCTGAACCACTTTCTTTTTGTGTTCAGGCAACTGATACGGCCGGCTGCGTACAACCACGCCCGGCTCCGTCTCAATATGGTGCTGGATGAGATTCGTTCGACCGGGCAGGGGCGAGAACACGTCTGCAAACTCGGCTTGCAATCTTGCTACATCAGTGAGCTGGGAGGGCGAGAGGTGATCTCCCCCTGGGGCCAGAGCGAGGGATTGGATTTTAGTGTTCACCTCTGGCCCGAGATCTTCCTCTCCACTCACTGCCGTCGCCAGCATCACCGATTCCACCTCGCTCCATTTTTTAAGGAGGTTAAGATGGTAAATTTGACGTGCCCCACTCCTGTCCGATCTAATTACCTCATAATGTCCTGGTCCTGTAACAAATTCTCCATAGAGAGCTGTGGAGATTTGTTCTCAGGTCCAGCACATGCTGAATTTTGTTTATGCTATCCGAAGGTCCCTCCTCCCAAGCCTCTCTCAGGACGTCCAAAACCCCACGGGGCTGGCGACCAAAAAGGAGCTCAAAGGGGGAAAACCCCGTGGAGGCTTGCGGGACTTCGCGCACAGCGAACAAAAGGGGTTCCAGCCATTTATCCCAATTTTTGGCATCTTCGTGAACGAACTTTCGAATCATGGTTTTCAAAGTGCGATTAAATCGTTCCACCAGACCGTCTGTTTGTGGGTGATAGACGCTGGTGCAGACCGATTTAATGCCCAATAATTCGTAAAGTTCGTGTATTGTACGTGACATAAACGCCGTGCCTTGGTCAGTGAGAATCTCTTTCGGGATCCCCACTCAGGAGATTATATGAAACAGGGCCTCCGCCATACTTTTTGCGGAAATGTTGCGGAGTGCCACTGCCTCAGGATATCACGTTGCATAATCCACGAGGACTAATCCAAAGCGATGGCCCTGTGCTGGCCGTTCTAATGGCCCGATGAGGTCCATACCAATTCTCTCGAAGGGGACCTGCATAAGAGGAAGAGGGCACAATGGCACTTTTGGGGAGGCCGGGGGATTCACTAACTGACATTCACGACAAGCCGCGCACCACCTGCGCACATTCTCGTGAATGCCCGGCCAAAAGAATCGGGCCATTAAACGGTTCAAAGTTGCTGCCTGTCCCAAATGGCCTGCCATAGGATTACAAAGTCGCTGCCTGTCCTAAGTGGCCTGCCATAGGATTACAATGAGCCGCCTGGAAAAGCATTTCCCAACGGCTTTTAGGAACTAACAGCTGAGTTGTATCTTGTTTTGTCTGAGCGTCTTGGGTCACTCGATACAACCTATCTTTTAAAATAGCAAAATAGGGATAAGAAGGGGGCCGTGCCGGCTGGAGCCGCTGTCCGTCGATGGAGCAGACTTGTTCAAATACATTCAGTCCAGCGGACTCCGGCGCCGGACCACCTCTCCATCGGGGCTGCGCTCGAGGTGGGAGATTCACCCGGGACCTAGGGAGAGGGACAGGCTTAGAGGTAGAAGAGGGGGGAGGAGAGAGAGAGACAGAAAGCAGTGTTTCGCCCCCCCCATGCCACGCCACCATCTGGTCCTCCGCCAGTTGAATGGCCAGCGTCCGGGGCCACCCACATGCCTCCGCGGTCCTCTCAAAGAGGTTGACGAAGGACTCCGGATCATCCTGCGAGCCCAACTTGTTCAACGGCATGTGGGCTGGCAGGGCCGGGGCAGATAGACTTCACCCAGCCCGAACCTCTCGGTGCATCCAGCTCCGGAACAGCTCGCGGTCCTCCTGCTGGGCTTGGATGAGGGCATGGAACCACCGCTCCTGGTCGTCCCTCAAGCCCAGCAGCGCCTGATGGTGCTCCTGGTGAAGACCCGCAAGCGATTGGATGACCTCCGCAAATGGCGATCCTGACGGGGACTGCATGCCGGCGTCGGCGTTCTTCTTCCTTCCCGGGTTTCGGCACCAGTGTGATAGGGTTCAAGAGGGAGGAAGGAAGAAGACAGGGTCGGCGTACTGGGACGCAAGCTTTATTCAAAGTCTCTGGGTATACACAACGGAAAAAGGCGCTCACTGTGCTTTCAATCTCTCAGTCAATAACTCATAACATAACACTATATATGCTTTGTGCTCCAGCAACCCATCTCCGATAGCTGGGAATTTTACTGACTCTCTAACTCATGTTTTCCCCTCTCTCCTCATTTTTTTTTTAGAATAGCCCCTCTCTCACTTTCTTTTTAGAATAGTTTACATTTTTACTTATCGAAGATTGTTCTTTGCATGACCATTTCCAGATTATGCCAGAACGAAGTGAAGAGAGGTGAATGCGGACATTGCAGCGATCACTTGATTGATACGTGGTGGACGGGTCGTTCAAAAGTAAAAATATAGAATAAATGCATTTGATTGGTAAACCAAATTCAAACGTTATTTTTTAATCTCTAAAGGTAATGCATGGAATACATGGAAAAGCTCCATTAAATAATATCGCTAATATGTGAGGGGCGGGGCTTTGGCAATCGGCGCTACCGATGACCAGTCAAAATACCCCACAGCCAATCACGGGCCCCCTCCTTGTCCGGGCCCCGGGGCTTAAGCCCCGCCTAGCCCAATGGTTAATTGGCCCTGCCTATCTCTTTCCATAAAAATATAGGCTATAAACATTCTAAAATATATGTTTACCTCTTAGGCAAATTGCATAAATTAGAATAGTGATGTCTCAAAACGCATTTATAGTCCGTATCTCATATTTTCCTAACGTGTTGTAGGCTACCCTTAACTGCGTTAAACATGGTGTCACGTGGATGGAAATATGCATGGAAATGATATGCAGATGACATTATGCATATTAAAACTAGGCGTTGTAAGCTCCATAAATGGCTATTCCGGGGAGGAGACGGGGTGGAGATTCATGTACGCACAATCTTCCGTTGACTGGGTATTACAAAGGGAATTTTGCGCAGGTTCTGGCATACGCATGGCTTTATAAATCTGAACATTTTTGTACGTACGCGAAATCTAGCTTTTGTGCGTACGCACACATTTAGGATGAAATCTACGTAAAGTTTTAAACATGAGGCCCCAGAGCTTATTTTGACAAGGTAAAAAGTGTGTTCTTTGTCGGCGCCGCTAGCCTAGTGGGCAGCACGTCGACATGTAGCGCCGTTGCACTTCGGGTCCCTTGTTCGAGTCCAGGCTTGGGAAACTTTCCTGATCCTGTCCCCCCTCTCTCTCCCTCCAACTTCGTTTCCTGTCTAACTACTGTCCTATCAAATAAAAGGCAAAAACGCCAAAAAAAAAAAAAGTGTTGTTTTGCACCACCATTGAGAAGTTTTAACCAAAGTATGTTATAGACTTTTCATTAAGACCCTAAAGAATCATATCAACTTGTGGAAAATGGGCATCCGATGACCCCTTTAAGACAGGTCATTCGGTAAATGAGATGTTGAATCAGGAGAAGAAGAGAGACCAGCAAGCTTGTTGTATTGCTGTCTTAAGGTATTTCAAGTTGTGATGGTCGATTAAGACAATGAGGGTGTTCTCTCTTTCAGGGCTGACTTAATGGCAAGGAGTTCCCAGTTACTCACATCATAATACGACACACTATTTCCCCGTTTAACACTGTAAAGCTGCTTTGACACAATCTGTATTGTAAAAAGCGCTATATAAATAATAATGGTGGTGGTGGTGTGGTGCTCATAATTCTGTTTGGCAGGATTCAATTTGTGGGAATAGAATGCACATAAGTACATCTTAGCTGGGTTACCATGATGTTGTAAGAGGACTGCTTTTATGTCAACGTTGAAGCCACCCACTTCAACAATGAAGGGTAGAGACAGCTCAGGATAGTGATGTCGATGCAGGGCTAATGGCATATTCTAGGAAAGTAGTGGTTGTAATGTGAAACTCACACTTCTTGGCTTTAACAGTTGGTTGTTTTAGAGGTGATTGAGAACTACTCTGACATAGCTGATGTGATCTTCCAGAACAGACAAAATAGTCAAAAATAGTCCTTAGTCAAAAGAGCTCATCCACATGTCTTGATTTTTTTAAATAAAAGTTATAACACATCTCTCCCAAAAAAAAATAATAATTTTAGCTGTCACTCACATTCATACCACAATCAATGCAGAACAACTGCATCACTATGATGTTTAAATAGATAATCAAGCTAATTACATAATAATACATCAAGCCAATTACATAATAATACATTTAAAAAGAGGATCAGTATGTTGGCTTTGTAACATTCTATGATATAGAATGTTAGTTATATCACCCACTGTTATACTTTTTTGTGTCAGTTAATGTCTAATTTTCCAAAGAAGAACCCATACATTCTGCAGTAAAGTACATTACTAACAAAATATCAAATAGTTATATGATATACCAAGCTTCAATGAACATGACACCAAATCAGTTTTTGGACACATACCATGGTTGTATGCCTGTAAATACCTTGGAATATCATGTAAAAACCATGGTACGTGGATATGGTTGGCATGGTATTTCATTCTGATTACATCACAATTATCTATATAATCGTACGTATCTAGGTTATAGAGTATTTATTCAGTCTATACTCACATCTCAAGCATTACTATACAATTTTAAGGAATAGAAGAGAAGTCTCATAATATATGGATGAAAATATAAATGTTTAAAATCCTACTAGATGTTTTCCTGATCATTGCTGTTCTTTCTCTGGTACTCTCTGTAGTTTCTAGACAAATCAGAGGATGTTCTCTTGAAGCATCAAGCCAGCATCAATGAGCTGAAGAGGGCCCTGAGGGAGCCCAACAGTAAACTGATGAACCGGGAAAAACGTCTGTCAGGGACGTCCCCAGGCGGCTCTCCAGAGAAGAAAGCAGTGAGTATGGAAATACTGCATTAGGACAGAATATTAATACATGTGCTGATACTTGGTTTAGTCTCTACTTTCTTGTTTGGTTGCAATCATCATGTATATGTGCATCATGCTGTACTGATTGTGTGCAATGTGAATTCCCTCAACTGACAAGGAAAATCCTTAGTGTCAGTTCCGTTGTTACACTTTTTGGAGCAATTTTGCATTGACTAGTCTAGTAAAGGTAAAAAGAGAAAGTATTATGTGGTGTGGGTGTAGTGTTTATTGCCAACTAATTGTTGTTTGCTGGTACAGATTTTTGTTTTACCAGATATAATGGATTTGACATGTATGCCATGTTGCTTTAACATTCTAATTTGTAATGTTTTATATTCAGTTCTCCACTATGTTGCATTTTGTTGTGCTATTGTATTTAATGGTTGCCCAAGTCATTATTGCTGCTGTGTTTTCATTATGCTGATTCCTCCTTTCATGTTTGTTTATATGCTGTGTTAAATCCCATTATTTATAATCATTTTACTTGTATTGCTATTTCTTTTTCATTATTTTTTCTTTCAACATCTTAAATTGCTCTTTAAATGTTCATAATATAAATTAATTTTTGTTTATCCTCTTTTTTTCTTTTTCTTGGAGCTGGCCATCTATCAGGAGGCTGTTGGTGCAGGGGTAGGGGAACCTGACAACAGCCTCTCGGTGGAGGGCTTCATCCAGAAGACATTTAAAATTCACTAATGGTTACTGATTTGATGACAAGTTAAAGAACTAACAATTTTAATTCATATGATTAAATAGGGCTCTGAAGAACGGGTGTTGCTTGACTATGAAATGGAGGAGAAAGGAGAGTACAAAGCTAGTACACCTCCACCTTCTCTGGTCATTGATCCCCTTCGAAAGGAGGAGACAGAAAAACAACAGGAAATTACCAAGATGACACACATTGACCTAATGAGAGAGGACAGCGATGAAACACAATTGCACATGAAGACTTTTGCATCCTCAAAAATAACACTAATGGACAAGTCAGGTGAATCTAAGGAAAATATCATCACAGGGGAAGATGCCACAACTAAGATTAAATCTAAATTGTCTCATGAAATATCAAAAAAAGAGCCTACACCACTTGCTGAGTCTCAGCCTAACAACAAGATTACCACTACAGACATCATGGCGGAGAGTTCTCAACGTAAAGTCAGAAGGGAAAAAAGACCTCAAAGCTTAAACTTGGGGAAGTCAAGGGACTTTGTGTATGAGACAGAAGCCAAAGGTTCAAACATCACACACGATAGTGTAGAGTCTGATGAGGACAACAATACTGAACTTATAAAGGAGATTGTGATCTGTCATCCTGAAAATTTCAGCACAACAACAGACACATGGACATCATCCATGGCTGAAAAGCTAAATCAGCCAGCCACAAATACATATGCTGCAACACCGCTTAAAGAAAATAAAGAGTTTGACAGAGTAATGGGAAAAGACTTGCAGGTTCCCAATCAGGGAGCAAGAAAGATGCATGAAAGTTTGCATGATTCAGGAAAGTCTGATGATGCAAGAAAATTTGTAGAATGTCAAGAGCAGCTATCCAACGAAGAGAAGATTATGAACACTGAAGGCAAACAAGAAAACCAAGATTCATTCAGTGGCCCTGGCAAAGATGAGCAGAAAAGTGTCAAGACTGATATCAGATTTGAAGTCATGAAAGTCATCATGATTGATAATAGCGAGAATGAAGCGAAATCTGGAAAAGCAAAGAAGAAAGAAACAGAAGATTTGGGTCTTGAAAAGAAGATAAGCAATTTTGAACTGGAAGAATCTGCAGAAATCCAACTGGCCATGGAACTGAGAAAAACTAGCCAGAGTGTTACTGGACATGTAAGAACAGATATAACAAGAATTGTTCCATTAAAACCTGAGAGAGTGAGGAGCCAAGGCTACAAAGATGACCTAGATATTGGACAAGGCTCTGAACTAATGAAAATAAATTTTAAAAGATACAGTATGAATGAATCTTTTGTGAGACACTTTGACCCCTGTAAGTTCGAGAGCAGGGACACTAGCTATTTCCATGCAAACTGCACCACAAGTCTAGTGAAAGGAAATACAAGTCAGGAATTATCTTTAGCTATCAAGGACATCTGTGTGTGCTCAGAGCATCAAGCGATAAAGAGTCTTGAGAGTTCACCAAAAGAAAGGGGCATACGGAATGAAGACACTACAAAACACACCAGCAGAATAGTCCACAGAGATCTTCTGCATACTGATGAGAGAATTTCTGAACTTCACTTCTCCAGACAGACAGTTAACCAAAAAAATGCCCCTCCAACACCTCCAGTCAAAACAAAGAAAGCAAGAGAATCAGGTCTCTTTCTGCGCAATAGTCACATTTTCAGCAAAGACCCAACTCTTGAAGCCATCAAAAAGAACCTTCTGGTAATCAACATGGCATTTTTAAAATTTTCAGTCACTGGACAAACAAGTATTGCATGAACTTAAGATTGATTCACACATTCATTGTTTTCCTTTTTATAATTTAAACTTACTTGTTTAATTTTATTAGTATAATTTAAACACTTACGTGTTTACTGTGTAAATCATACTGTTTGCTTGCCCATGAAGAGAGGGGTTAGAGAAGCCTATAATTTAACCATTAATGAGTAGTTTTCTGTTTAATATGCAATCAACTACACCAAAAATATCTATTTATATTAAAACTATTTAATCAATATGTTTATAATTGTCTGGAGGTTAAATGTTTTGGCCATTTGCTTCGATAGCCCATTTCTTCATAGTAAATTTAGTGAAATTACATAGTACCTTTGAAGATTTTTGAAACACTAACAGCAACCAGCCTGAGCATTCAACCCTTAACAGAAGCTTTTGTGGTGATTGTCACATTAAATAATGAATTCTGCATGATGAGCATGGGTGTAGAATACGTGGAGAATACAGGGGACCTGTCCATCAGTTGCTCCCCAAGTAGAGCATTCTAAATCTGTTTCTAAATCTTTTTCTTTTTTTTTGGCCAATTGTACATTGTAGGTAGTACACTGTTTAACTTCTGTTACTAAATGTTTACTTTTTTGTGAATTATTTGATTCTTTATAATCTCTTTTAAAACTAGTTGGTTTATTTTTAAAAACCCACTTGGTGATGTGAGGAACCCCTGCATGTTAAATGAGATTGTGACGTTTTTATCCTCTAAAATATAAGTCAAGAACCTCTCGGGTTACGCATGTAACTGTGGTTCCCCGAGAGGGAACAAGACACTGCGTCCCCTAGGGGACACTTTGGGGAATGCCCTCAGCATGACCATTGGGCCACACACCCCATGACGTCATTAGCAGGGCTTCTGGAAGTATAAGAGGATGCTGGTAATACACTTCATCAACTTCTTTGTCTGAAGGAGACATGACACAGGCAGGCACAAGGCATGGCAAGGGGACGCAGTGTCTCGTTCCCTCTCGGGGAATCATAGTTACATGCATAACACCAAAACGTTCCCCTTCATGAGAACGCCACACTGCGTCCCCTAGGGGACACTTTGGGCTACGAAATACCAACCACGCCCTGCCCTGGTGCATGCCTGTCCTCCAAGAATAGTGGTAAACATGCACCGGAGATGGGGGGGCGGCCAATGAGAGAGAGAGCCGACACCCAGCACTAAGCACTAATGGCGCTTTTCCACTGTGTGGTACGACTCGGCTCGGTATGGCTCAGTACGGCACGGCACGGTTCGGCTCGGCATGGTTTGCGTTTCCACTGCAGTTCAGTACCACTTTAGAGTGGGCGGGATTATTCACATGTCGTTATAGTTGCTACGTCTACTACCACGACTCCTAAAAATAACTTTTTCATTTCGCGTCGCCCCATCAAGCTCTCTCTGGATCCGCTCCTCTGCTATCAACGAGAGGAACGTCTGTACTTCCGCAACAGACAACAAAACTTTTTGGTTGTTAAAAAAGAGGTGCGCTCGTTCAAAACAGTTGCGTTCGATCCTTCGCTGGCTGTGCTGATTTAAATCTAGCGGTTCTTTTGTGTTTGTGTCGCAAGTTCAGTGACG